GTATTCAGCTGCTTGACTCCAAATCAGTCTTCGCATGTGTGCTTGTGTTTTTTGCGTCATTAAAGAACTTGATGAGGTTGCCGGAGCAATATCTCAACGGGGAAGATTCGGCCGTTCCAATTTTCTGGAGCCCTGGAATGCACTCATCTTGCTTATTGCGAAATCGCCGGTGGCAGTCAAGCTTCACTCGGAAATCCGGACACTGTACGACCCCCGCATTGCGTTTGATAAAGATGACACACACACACACCCAGAGACAACGAAGTGAGAAATTGAGATGCTCGAGTTGCAATAGCGTACTTCACGTTAAACAATGCATGTGTGTGCTGTGGTGGGGCTGCCAAACTGTCCCATGATGTTTGTACTGTGAAGTGTGGTTTTCAAGATGGCACTAACTGCCGCAGTTTGCTTTGTGGGGTTGCACCTTTACGGAAAAGTTACGATTTTGGAGCTAGCGCTGCCAAAGAGCGTCGCTTGTGCCCTTGGGCTGCTACCATGCTCTCGGTGCGCCATATTGCACCACACTTCGCAAAATCTCTATTTTCGAGCTGTAGTTATCAAAGCGCACTGCGCAGAGTGTATTTTTTCTCACGACACTAGTTTTGAGGAGTTGCGGTTCACTTTGTATTAAGAAGTTGCCATTTCCAAGCTGGAGAGGGCAAAGGGCAGTGTGCACGTGGCTAAACTTGCAATACTGAACGCTTGCATGTTTCCGACCCAGCACTACGCATACTTGTGCTGAGATTTCCGAGTTAGAAAGAGCTGCCAATAGTGTACTTCGCACGGTGCCATCAAGAAGTTGCTTTTGTTTGAGCTTGCACTGCCAAAGCAGCTTTCGCAACTGCACTTGCAGCGGACACATGCCATTTCCGAGCTGGAGCTGCGTAAGATACCTTGCAGGGAGATACCCGATATAGGGCGGCAAGGAGCAAACGCAATGCGGTCAGCAAGGGAATGGCAAACGCTCTTGGGCGGTGATCATGTTTAGGATTGAATCCAACTCTTTGACGGCGGAGCAGATGTCTACGCTGGGTCAGCACTTAGACTTCCTTGCTACTTCTTGCGCTGGCACCCCGACTGTCTTCAGCTGGTGCCTTGGCTCAGGCAGTCTTGAACCTGTAACCCTTTCACTGGCCATCCTTGCAAGACTTGTGGGGCAGTACTCAGGATTGAATGGCTACGCACGGAGTCCTTCTCAGCCCTCAGCCTGCCCAGCTTGGAGCAGCCGGAAGCTGGCGCACTCCGGGAGAATGATGCCCTCTCGCCGGAGCCGGCACCAGGGCCAGCTTCTTGTGCCAATTGTGCAGCGTCTTTGTCATCGGAATGGGTCGGGCTGGGCTGCGGCCATTCGTTCTGCAGGAACTGCGCCTTGTATACGCGCCAAGTCTACGCTGCCAGTGAGCAGGTTCCCTGCTGTCCCTTGCCGGACTGCCGCCGGGAAGCTGCAGAACTGGACGGCCTCAGCGAGCAAACTCTGTGGATCACCGTGTCGGAGCACCTCTTGCCGACTCGCTTCCAGGAATCGTTCAGCGCATTGTGCTCTTGAGTGGAATGCGTTGCCGTGTTGTGATGTACCCCTGGCGCATTGGTGAGGATTGCTTTGTCTTCTGCCCTGGATGTGAAGACCGTGGGATGGACTGCGCGGCCCAAACATGCTGAGATGGTTTGTTCAAGTTATGAGTCCCAAATGTGCTTATGCCCGAAGGGTCCTAAGGGTTTTTTGCCCCAAAATAAAACAGGTCCTTTGGCACCCCTAAGCAAACTCAGGGTGTGATACGGCCAACCGGGGTTCTGCATATCAAGCCATGGGCTTAGGATGCGCCTGTTGCAGGACATCCCCGTTCTGGAATCGAAAGGCAAACTTGCAAGAAGTGGCCTGTGCCAGTGCTTCCGGTGCAAGCACCAGTTTTGCTTGGTGTGCCGTTCGCCCTGGCATGTCTCAGAGTCCTGCTTTGACAGCGAGAGCCGCGTCGTGCGAATGGCAAAGAGGCGCCCGCCACTTTCATCAGACCTGGCGGAAATGGCCGCTACCAGGGCGGAAGAAATACGGCAGCAGTCAATGCGGCAAGCTGAGCTGGCACTGTCTCTGTGCCAAACCTCTGCCACCTTCAATGATCTGCGCGATCATTTTAACGGCCTGTATCGCACGGACGTCGAGCGTGGCTTAAGCTCGGTGTTCGGTGAAGTTGAGATCCGAGAGGTCGACTTGTCACTTGAAGTGAAGGACCGTTTCCTGGCAAAGCTGGGCAGCACTGGCATGGGGGCATTGCGGCCAGCCTTCCATGGCACAGACCCAGCAAACTATCGCTCAATCTTCCAGCACGGCTTGCTGATCCCAGGTGCTGAGTTTGGCAACAAATTACGGGTCGTGCATGGTGCCGCACATGGCAGGGGAATTTACACTGCAAATGTTGATGCAGCGTGGTTGTCGAAAGGATTCTGCACCCAAGCCTCGATGCTGGTGTGCGCTGTCCTAGATGTTTCAGAAAACGTGAAGCATCGGGGTGACGCCATGGTGATCTTCGACCCTGCTGCTGTGGTACCACTCTTTGAGGCTGGTGGCACAGAGCTGTCGAGGCCACTAGGCACTGCACAGTTGCCAGCAGCCGCTCTCGGGGCAACGGCAAAAGCAGCAAAAGCCGGACAGCAAGCCGCACAGCCAGCTGCCAAAAGCCAGCCGGACCCACCACCGTCGCAGAAGAAAAAGAATAAGTTTCTTTCAAAGCTTGTTTCGCAAAGCAAGAAGAGGTAGGAAAGGAATCGCTCCTGATGCCCCGCTCTAATCTCTTCGCAGGGCGTTTTGCTCGCCACTTATGTACAGTTTCAATGCATGAGCTGCCGGTGTACAGTGCATGGCTGATCATTGCGGGTCCAAAACGCAGGAGAGGCGTCAGGTTAAGAGCCATGTGATCAAGGCAATCGTCGCTCAAACTCATCAAGGAGCGGCATTTATCAAGATAATAATATTGCTGGGAGCACCGGCATGCATTGCGGCAAGCCGGTCCTGCAACCTTTAGATGTGAGCCTGAAGCATTTGATTCCGGAGGGCAGTTTATTGGAGGATGTTTCTTCTTTTCAGGGATTGGTGAAGCGTGATGGGCCCCAAGTGCTGTGTGCCGTTTCCCACTACTGGACTTGAGCCTCCCAGCTGATATATTTGGCATTGTCATGCTGCCCAGCTTGTCCCAAACTATATGGCCTGAGCCCAATCCTGACAACAACACGGGCCGCCAGACAACGAGCTTGAAGCAAGACTCTTCAGCCGGTAATTCACGCATAGAAATACCCTCGAACCCATTGCAAGCAACAAGCCAAACTAACCCTGAACAAATACTAAACACAGTGCCGAGCCAATTCTGACTGAAACTGAGCCTGAACTTTAAGACAGCGCTGAATACATTGCCTTATTGGCCCCAAGCAAATTCGAAGCCGGCCTAGTCTCGCTCGAAATCAAGCCGCGAACCCTAGCCACCCGAGACAAATAGCTATACATGTGTCAAACATCTCGACGCCAAGGTAGGGAGCTAAGTCTCAAGATGCCTCGCCGGAGATGCAGCTGATCAAGCGACCATGTCCCAGCATTCCAGTCCAATCTTTTTTCCAGGCGTGGTCACCCTTGAATCTTCCTCTGGCCAGCTTCGAAAAGGCTGTTTGAGCTTGCCTTCCGATCCGAGCGCTGGGCCCATCTTGTCTCAGAATTGCCGGGCAGGCATCCAGCGCCATGGGGCCCGCAGCTCTTTCCACCCTTACAAGCCTTACAGCAACTGAACACAAGCCTTGAAGTGCGGCACATGTTGCATGAACCATTGAGCTCATGCAGCTTGAGCCCGATTGATTGGCTGTGGCGTTCGCGTGTGGCCAGGGCTTGCGCGGTCGGGTGGTAGCTGCATGCATTGCTCGAAACGACCCAGACTGGAGCATCGCTAGACAGCGAGGCAGGAGCACCAAGCAGTTAGAGGAGTGCTACCACGCAACGAGCAATTGCACACAGCCGGCGCTGGGAGGTCATGGCGTATGATGTGGGTTATTGCTTTCAGGTTGGTGGGCTCAAATCGTTTGCTTTGCAACCTGCGTCGGTTTGTTTGCAGGGTGCTCGTGCCTTCTCGAACAGGTGATGCTGCAATGCATTGGAGACCCTGCCTTCACTGATGAAATTCGCAGGCAAGGCCAAGCCGTTGGGTAACTGCAACATTGAGCTGAGTTGCAGCTGCGGAGTGTTCATGCTTATGAATATTGCTTGCAACTTCTTGTCAATCTGGAGGAAAGTGCCAGCCGAATCAACCCACAAAGATGCGGTCCTTTGGATGAACCTGAAGTGGATATCGTCGTGTTTCCCAACTCAAACTGCGGTCCCGGAGACTTCGGTCGTTTGTGGTTGTTTGTTGTATTCAGGTTTGAGCGGGAGCACTGCCGCGAGTTTGAAGACCAGGCCCTGCTGGCCTGACCTTTCCATGCCAGCTTCGCAGAATGTGGTTTGACCACTCACAACTTCACCGTGAGTCGTGATTTTCAACGTCATGTGCTGCAGGGCTCAAGCGATGACACCTTGCCGCCATGTCTGCGGGACCAGCCGTGCCCCGTAAGCTGGCATGCCAACGGGGCAGGATAGCAAGCGCAAGGCTCAGCGATCAGGTTGCGCTGAGATGGCAATGCTTTTAAACTTGAGCGCAGAGAAACCACGCTTGGCATGTAGATTTGCCTCAGGGTGGCTGAGAGCCGCACTGAAGCCCGACCCCGTTTGAAGCCACGCGGCCTGAAGCCACGAGAAGCTTGCCTGCAAGTGTAAGTCTTGAACTAGCAGATGCACAAGTTATGCATGAGCATCATTATTCAGTCACCAAGTATGTAATCACGTCGCCCTGCCTCAACCCTGCTGCATGAATGACTCTTGCTTGAAACTGGCCCTGGCATTACGGCTATTAATCCCAACTTGGCAGTTAGACGTTCGAAAAGGAACCGTGCAAACAGCAACGTTCGGCGAGGAGAGTTGAACCACAGCCGTGCTCATGACACAGGCAACTTACAGCCCAAGCTTGCTCTAGAACAATAACACCGGCAGAGTGCCATTGTGAGTTAAGTTTTAAGGCACGCTGAGCACCAAACATCTGTTGGTCACCCCATGCTTGCGCCCGACACTGCCTTCTTGCTGTACACGGTAGCTGCTGAAGAATACAGGACAAAGCAGAGCCCAGGTGCTCAAGCTGATCAATGTGCTGCGGTTGCTGTCTTTGGGAAGGCATCGAAGGAGGCACCCGTGCAGTCTCCTTTTCACGAGCATTGGGTATCTCTTTTTTAGAGCCCTCTTTCGTGGTTGGCCTGAAGTAGAGATAAAGGCAAACCAACTGGTTCGGGGATGCCCTAGCCTGCAAAACAATGGAAGGCTGACTGTTTCAGTTTGCGGGTTCTTTGAGAATTTGCAATGCGAGTGCCTAAATTGTGCGCATGAAGTTGCGTAAGGTCTAGGGCTTCTGCGTGGTACCTTCTACTGAACATGCTGCAAGATGCCTTTGGCAGGGCTTCTAGCAGCTCTCGGCAGGCGGCAAGACGGCAACCCGTTTGCAGACAGGGTGTCCTAGGGAGGAAGCATGTGGCGAAAAGCAGCCCGAAGAGGCTTGTTTCGAGTGAAACCATTGATCTGCTGCATGACTTAAGCCTGGTTTGAGGATTGCAGAGCCGCTGACCGATGCAGAAGAGGCATTTCTCGGCAAAGCCCAGGTCTTAGAGCGTCCGGCAAGCACGCATTCACTCAAATTCCCCTCTCAGCCGGCGGCGTGCTTCTCTGCTAAAACCGCAGCGTCCCAACCTAGGTGCTATCCTTCGTACCGTTGATGGCCAGAACCTCCAAGCTGCTGAGACCATTTCTAGATGGGGAATGTGTGGATGACATCAACTTGCGCAAGCTGGCGGCCAGAACAATTCATCAGGCGTTCCACCAAGCAGCGTGCAAACAAAAGTGCTTGTCTTGGCAGGCCAAAGTGATGACAACCAGAACGGTTTGGAAAGACCTGGTGGAGCCGCTGAAGGCTGGTTGCATGACCTTTGGGGGCTTGCAGCCCGTGCGTTGCAGGAGGAAATCAACACGTCAAAGCATCGGCATACAAATCTGCAAGATCAATTTAACGAGGCCAGTGCCTGCCTCAGCCGCGAGGTTCGGAGGTCACTGCCACATCGAGACTTGAAACTGCCCTGCTGAGGATCGGAGTTCCTCCGTGAAATCGCCGCTCTTCGGGACGAAGCGCGTGTCCGCGGAGATCCTGCCAAAATGCTGGAGCAATCTGGGCCGCTTGGGCTATCCTAAGATGCTGAGCTTAGTGCCTCTCAACTGTAACTTGTATTTGAAGCAAACTACTATAGCTGTCAAGTGCGCTGCTTTAGGCTGCTTTACTTGTAGCCTTGTGTAGCCCTGGCCATCTGCTGTACGATGCGCAAAAGGCATACATACTACCACTGCAATTATCGCGTGCGCAGGCAGCTGAAGGACGTCATGTTTTTCTTCGAATCCTGGCAGAATCACGGCGCGTCGCCAGCAGCAGTTGTTGGCAAGATGAGAAGAACATGGATTTGACGCACAAATGCTTGCCATGTTGTATGCTTATGCTTACGTGTCCTTGCTGAAAGGAACCTATGAAGACATTGCAGCCACACGAGCTGCAGTACTGCTTGGAGGTCATCAAGGCACATGCCCTCACATCCGTTCGAGTGGAACCATCCTGGCTCCAGGAGAAGCTAAAGATGATTTTTGAAGGCAACGCATCTGTGACGCAAACTGTCCTTGGCCAAGCATTGGGAGAGTGGTTGTTGCACTTGCTGCTTGCTTTTGTGCAGCGCCACCACCACCCCGATGCTTGCGCTGCATACGTGTCATTCCTTCATGCTCAGGTGAATTTTGGCCAAATCGAGCGGCTAAAAGAGCTGCTTGTAAGTAGCGAAGTGGCCAAGCAAAAGGACCAACGATCCGGGTTGGCCGTCGTTTGCTGCATGCCAAATTGCTTGAACATGGCTTCCGCACCGCCAGAAGAGCATGTGTGATATCATGCCAGATGTGCAGTCATCCGTAAAGTCATGTTTGGCAAAGTCATGTTTGGCAAAGTCATCCGCTGCACGGGCATGCAGGATTTGCTGCTTAAAAAGGCGTGTCTTGGTTGCACTGTGAAAGCATGCCAACACACAGGCACAAGCAAATGGACGAGCCAGCAAGGAAACAAGCAAGCAAGCAAACGGCCAATCAATCAGTTAATCATGTAAGCAAGCAAACAACACAACACAAAAGAGAGCAAGCAAACGAACAAACGACACTTTTTCTCACATCTTTCACGAACAAACGCACCCACATGACGTACACTCGCACCACACGCACGCACGCACGAACGCACGCGCGCACGCGCGCGCACGCACGCACCCGCACGCACCCGCACGCACCCGCACGCACCCGCACGCACCCGCACGCACCCGCACGCACCCGCACGCACCCGCACGCACCCGCACGCACCCGCGCGCACCCGCGCGCACCCACGCGCACCCGCAGCACGTGCGCACGTGCATGCATGCATGCACCAGCTGCTCAGCACCACGATGCATGCACCCCGCTAGCACGGCGCACGCAATGCACCACACGCCACACAACACCAGAGAAGCCCCAACTCCCCAACATGCCATCACACCGCACACCAGATTCTAGACATCACTTACCACCAGCCGCACAATGCATGAAGCACACAGGAGCATACCGAGAACACACACACACACAGAGACACATACACCGCGCAAATGCACATACCAGCTTGGCAACACACCAACACACCATGCACCACACACTAACACGATAGCACACAACACCACATAATGACATACTCGCACATACTTGACACCACCACACCACACAACAAACTTTCACACTACACATCCACGCACGCAGCATGCGCGCGACGGCTTACACGCACACGCACACAAACCCACAAACACATACATCACGCAGACACACCGTGCACCACACCGCAAACCCCAACACAGAGACACACATACTTTGACGAATGCCCTTCTACAAAAAAAACCCTCGATATGCGGGACAGAGCGCGGGACAAAGTGCCGGACAAAGTGCGGGACAAACTGCGGGACAAACAACTGTGCGGCAAGTTGTCCGGGGGGTTGTCCGGAGGGTTGAGGGTTGTCCGCGCACTTTGCCGAGATTTATGATGCAAATTCCCCCTCCCGCGAGAATACCTCACTCCGAGTGATTCCCAAGTGGTTTCCGCGTGGTTTAGAGCGGGTTCCGAGTGGTTTCCGAGTGCTTTCCGAGTGGTTTCCGAGCGGCTTCCGAGTGGTTTCCGAGGGTGAGTGCGTCGCTCCTGAACGCTGGAAAACCGTCGCTTCGGAACGCTGATTAAAAGTCGCTTCGGAACGCCGGAAAACGTACTAATCGCTTAGGAACGCTGAAAGCGCAGCCACATGCCACGCGCTGCGCCGAGACACCAGCGAGTGCTTCGCTGAACGCTGGGATAAGAATCGGCGCCCATGCGTCCACGCGCTTTCATAGATTGCAGAGCCTGGCGTTTGGCATGTGCAGAGAATTGCCCTCATTAGAGCCCAGTTGAGCGGGTGTGCTTATCATCCCCCCCCCCCACCCGCCCCCAAGAACAAATTGATTGGATTTTGCACTCCCTGGCTGGGATGAGCCCCCCCACCCCACGTGTGCTTATCATGCTCCCCACCCCACCCCCCACCCCCGAACCAGATGAATTTGCACATTTCAGTTCAGCGGATGCCCCCCACCCAAATTTGCACATTCGGTTACAGAGCAGGCTGGGCTGGTTCAGTTGAGCGGGTGTGCTTACCATCCCCCAGAACAAATTGATTGGATTTTGCACACCCTGGCTGGGATGAAACAGTTCAGCGAGAGGACGCCTGCGTTCGGAAGTGATCATTTTTTCATGACCGGGTTTTGCAACCCTTTCGGCGTTTTGAGTGCTCAGTGTTCTGAAGTGATTTTTTTGAGTGTTCGGAAGTGATCGAAAGTGGCAGCGTTCAGAAGTGTTTTTCCAGCGTTCAGAAGTGATTGTCTACCTCCCTCAGTGGTTTCCAAGTGGTTTTCGAGTGGTTTTGGCGTGTTCCAAACCTGTCCGAAGACTTGTCCAGGGGTTTGTCCCGGGTTTTTTTTGGCCCTCAAAGCTGTCCGGAAGGTTGTCCGGGGGTTTGTCCGGGGTTTTTGTCCCGGGCTTTTGGGCCCTCAAAGCTGTCCGGAGGGTTGTCCGGGGGTTTGTCCGGGGAGTTGTCCCGCCGATTTTGTGCCCTCAAATCGGAGGGTTGTCCGCCCTCAAAGCTGTCCGGAGGGTTGTCCGGGGGTTTGTGGGTTGTCCCGGGGGTTGTCCGGAGTTTTAAGCCTGTTGGACCCAACATGTGAAAACAGGTGTTTATGCCGAACCGCCTCTGTCAACAGATACTTACGCATAAACATGCTACAGTACACACACAACGGCACAAGGCAATGGCTTGTATGGTCTGATGAAAGCTGGTGTCTGGCCCAAAGGGCGGAGATCTTGGAGCTAGAGAAGGAGCGTCGCCACCTGCAGCGCGAGCTGGCGATTGCTTCGAAGATGGGAAGGGAAGCCAGATTTGGAGCAGAATCTGCACTTTGGCGTTGCCCCGTCGGTTGTGATAACAACATGCTTGTGGACAGTACAGGGCTTGCCTTGGCGAAGCCCAAACTACGGAGAGATAAATTGCTTTGTTGGCCAAGGCATGTGTCGCATCAGAGAATGTGCTGGCAACTGTTTCTGCGGAAAGCGAGCAACTCCGAGCTGAAGTTGAGCAGCTGAAGGTTCCTTGAATGCGAACTTGACATTGCCTCTCGCACAATCTTCTCGATAGAGTCCAGATGAGCCAAGGAAACAAGCTCCCGAAAGGAGGCAATGATGAAGAAGGTTTCGGAGCAGATGCGAAAGTTGCAGCATGAGCGCGACAATGCTCTCAAGGGGGTTCAGAAGCTTGCTCTATTCTATCAGCTTAGTGATGTTGTTTCAGCTACATGTTGAGCTTTTGCTGCTACTTGCTTGCTGGCCAAGGGAAAACCAGGACTATTCCAAGGAACTCCAGGACAAGCTCAATCAGGCAGCAATCGAATTTAGAGGGTCAAGTTCCGTACGGCTGCACTCAGGTCGAAGCTGAGAAGAACACCACTTCGCAAGTGCTTCTCAACACCCGCAGGGAATTGCAGTTGCTGGAGGGTCGAGAAATGATTCTGCAGCTCGGCTTGAGCCTTGTGACATAAGTTTGGCTTTGGGAGCCCAAGGAATGAGCAGCTGGAGAGACAGCGAGTGTATGGAGAGACATTGATCCACGCCCGGCTCCAAGCATTCCGCTGCCTCCTTCTCAACAAGTGCACTGCGCCACCCCAGTAAAGAGGCAGACATGTAGAAAGCGGAAGGTAGCAGATAGGCTTTGCACTTGGCAAGTAGAACCGGGAGCTACGGTCCATACGGCGGCCTCGTGAGGAGAATGAGGCGCTCCGCAAGACGCTGGCCCGATGGCAGGAGCGTCGCAGAAGTCAACTGGAGAACGAAATCAAGCCATTCTGGGAGCGCGATGGCGCTTTGGCAGATCCTGAGGCGCAGCCGTACCGCGGCTTTACTGCCTGTTGTTTCAAGGTGCCAATGGAAGTATGCAAGTGAGAGTATGCCGCTGCAGGTTGAGGCAACTGAGCTTGGTGATCCTAAGCCTGAGCCAGACATTCCGTGCATTGGCTGCATTATTGTGCCTCTCTTTGCAATATACTAAACAAGTTGTAGAGCCACATGCAAATGAGCAACAGGTTGGAAGCAAACGAGCTCATCATCCAGCTGAGACAAAGTGATGAGCAGCTGCAGGCTTGGTCTTTTGGTTTTTTTAGGCTACGGACAATGAAATCTCAAGGACAATGCAGAGAAGGATGCATTGCTGCCGGCTAGCTTCTCCTGCACGCTTGGCTCGGCCCAACCAGGCTGCCATGACAACCCAAACTCAAATGTCTACTCGCCACTCGGCCGCTGTTGAGTTTTGCCTTCTGCGCTGCTACTGAATCTGAACGAAATGAAGTAAATGCGCAAACAACGCAGCACGTGATGCATGCGCAGACTGGCCGTTCGGATGCCGAGGCATGTTTGACCTGGAGCTGGAAAACAGGCAGCTAAGGCAGCTGCTGGAGCAGCAGGCAGGTTCCATGAAACATGTGTCAGCTATATGCGGTCTGCGCCAGGCCGCATTAAAAGAAATGTGATTCGCAAGAGAGTTGGTCTTTTGCATTTAAATGCTATTTTGTCAGCGGGTAAATTCCCACGGATATTTTGTTTGTCGGCCACGGAAAAATGCGCACAGCGGCACACCAATCCTCCCAAAGAGCGTTTTGTGCAGCGATTTTTAAGTACGAGAGCAGTTCGCGAATACGTTCCTGCAGCGCCTGCGCTTTGTTTGTAAGCACGCATGGGCACGAGAAGTATATTTGCGTAGTTTGGCGGGACAATCATTGCTTTTAAGCATTGCAAGTAGTTTGCGCTTACATTAGTTGTCCGAACGGCTCTTGCATTGAGCGGGGCGACATTTTTTCTCATGTATTCTGCGAAAGCTCCGCGTAAGACCTTGCGGTCCAGGCTTTGCTGGAACACGTGGTGCTGGGACTTAATGCTGGCGAGGTTACAGCATCTAGACCGAGACCTGCAAGCCACATTGCTTGCAATGTTTGGTTGGTTATCCGCGGAAGTTTGATGGCTAGCAATTTCGCTGGCACGGGGTGTACCAAGCTTGCACTATACTTAAAAGTAAGATGCTCCAGCTGGAGTTGCACAAGTGTATTTCACACATGGACTCTTTTGCTGACAAGTGTAGCGTTGTAGTGGCAGATGCCAAAAAGAGCATGTTGCTTGCGCCGGTACTGCAAGATAGCCATGTTTGAAGCTGCCACAGCATCACAGTGTACTTACCAGGCAAGTTTACAGGCCAACCCTTTTGCTCGTGCGGGGGGGTGGATTTCGTAAACGTAGCGTTGCGATGAAACTTGTGATTTTGCCCCGCGAAGATGTCCATTCCATGATCATAATTTCAAACAACCCGCCCCCATCCTGCTGCAGGCGCAGCAGGCGGTCCAGCATGGTGCATCTAGACAGCAGTGGCAGATTAACGCAGATCATGTACTTTCGGTGGCATGCTTTGGCTAAGGCTGCCTTAGAGCAGCAGCATGCCGAGTCATTGGCTGGCATCCTGCAGCGATTGACTGGCACCCGCAAAAAGGAGACTGAGAAGTAGTTTGAGGGCGGATTGTTTTGGAGCAGCCTTTGAAGTTTGAGCAACCTGTGGTGCAGCAATGGTGCTGCTTCAGCATGTTCACCACCGACTTCGCACAACAGGACCTTGGCAAGCAGAAGACGCAACCATGGGATGTCCACTCGACTCCTCAAGAGCCATTGTTTCAGCCACTCAGTCTAGATTCATGGATGTGCAGGGCACCTATTCACTTGAATGACTCGCCTTTGGCCACAAGGCTGTCGCCGAAATCACGCGCGGCAAAACTGGATGAGGACTCAAAGCGCCCAGTCTTTGCTCTTCCCTCAGAGGACGGGAGCTGAGAGTAGCGAGCTGAGCAGCAACTAGAGAAGTGAGATGTGCATACATTTGCTATCGCAACAACTGTTAATGATTTTACGATGTTCATTTCCGAACTCAAGAAGAGCTCTGAAAGAGCTGTAGAAGCATGGCTATGCTGTGAGATCAAATGCTGTGGCCCCTTTCACGCTAAGGCCCCAACCCCTAAGCTAGTCAAGGGCCATGCATGAAGATACAGTCGTCGGGTTGTCGCATCATGTCTCCAATCGTATGCGCCAAAGACCAGGCAAGGTCATCCTTTCGACCATCTTACGACGGACGAGTGGTTTCAAATGTCATCCGTGCATATTACTTTTTGCATGTCCTTTGGTTGTGTATATGTGTGAGTTGTGCGGTGGTGTGCGTGCGTGCGTGCGTGCGTGCGGTGGCGTGCGTGCGTGCCTGCCTGCCTGCCTGCCTGCCTGCCTGCCTGCCTGCCTGCCTGCCTGCCTGCCTGCGTGCCTGCGTGCCTGCGTGCCTGCGTGCCTGCCTGCCTGCCTGCCTGCCTGCCTGCCTGCCTGCCTGCCTGCCTGCGTGCCTGCCTGCGTGCCTGCCTGCGTGCCTGCGTGCCTGCGTGCCTGCGCGCCTGCGTGCCTGCCTGCGTGCCTGCGTGCCTGCGTGCCTGCGTGCCTGCATGCCTGCGTGCCTGCGTGCCTGCGTGCCTGCCTGCGTGCCTGCCTTTGTGCCTGCCTTTGTGCCTGCGTGCCTGCCTGCGTGCGTGCGTTCCTGCGTTTGTGCCTGCGCGCGTGCCTGCGCGCGTGCCTGCCTGCGTGCCTGCGTGCGTGCCTGCGTGCCTGCGTGCCTGCGTGCCTGCCTGCGTGCCTGCGTGCCTGCCTGCGTGCCTGCGTGCCTGCCTGCGTGCCTGCCTGCGTGCCTGCGTGCCTGCGTGCCTGCGTGCCTGCGTGCCTGCGTGCCTGCGTGCCTGCCTGCGTGCCTGCGTGCCTGCCTGCGTGCCGGCGTGCCTGCCTGCGTGCCTGCGTGCCTGCGTGCCTGCGTGCCTGCATGCCTGCGTGCCTGCCTGCCTGCCTGCCTGCCTGCCTGCCTGCGTGCCTGCGTGCCTGCGTGCCTGCGTGCCTGCGTGCCTGCGTTCCTGCGTGCCTGCGTGCCTGCGTGCCTGCATGCCTGCGTGCCTCCGTGCCTCCGTGCCTGCCTGCCTGCCTGTCTGCGTGCCTGCGTGCCTGCGTGCCTGCGTGCCTGCGTGCCTGCGTGCCTGCCTGCCTGCCTGCCTGCCTGCCTGCCTGCCTGCCTGCCTGCGTTCCTGCGTGCCTGCGTGCCTGCGTGCCTGCGTGCCTGCGTGCCTGCGTGCCTGCGTGCCTGCGTGCCTGCGTGCCTGCGTGCCTGCGTGCTTCTGTGCCTGCGTTCCTGCGTTCCTGCGTGCCTGCGTGCCTGCCTGCCTGCGTGCGTGCGTGCGTTGCGTGTTTGTTTGTTTGTTTGTTTGTTTGTTTGTTTGCGCGGTGAAGTGCAGTGCATGTGTGTGTGTATGTTGTGTGTGTGTGTGTGTGCGCGTGTGGTGTGCTGTGTGTTGTTCCTTGCGTGGAGTGGCGCGTGTTTGTGTTTGTGTGTGTGGGTGTGTCTTTGTCCACCGAGAATCGTTCCAATGCCCGTGCTTCATTTGTTTAAATCGACGTTCACTTTTCGTTTCCGGTTTGCGTAGGAATCGAAACCCGGAAGCTCCGCGGAGGCGTGGCGGAAGCATATCTCTAACAGATAGCGCACGTTTAGATCACGTGCTTTGAGCCAAGTAGACGGGCAGTGTTTTTGGTCTGTAGCGCGGAATGATAACTCCACTTGCGCCTTTCGCATCTCACGATGGAAGCGCAGACAAGGAAGAGACTTGACGGGCCAAAAGGCGCGTTTTCCGCGGAAGCCCTCAGAGCCGAAAAACCCTATCGCGTGACCCGTCCTTCTGTTGACAAGCTCATACACACACACACACACACAGTCTGGCGCAGCACGGTGCCTCCCACTCCCAAGCAGCCCTTAAGCCTTAAAACTTTAGAGCCTCCGGCTCAGTCCGCCGACATTGTCCTCTCCCTTTTCTCCTTCTTCCTCTCTTCCTTGTCTCCCTTGTGTGTTCTGTCGTCCTCTCTCCCTCCCTCTGCTCCCATCCTCCCCATCCCCCCAAGCCTCTCTCTCCCCACTCTCCCTCTCTCGTATGTATGCATGCATGTACATAGGTATGTATGTATGTATGTATGTATGTATGTATGTATGTATGTATGTATGTATGTATGTATGTATGTATGTATGTATGTATGTATGTATGTATGTATGTATGTATGTAATGTATGTATGTATGTATGTATGTATGTATGTAATGTATGTATGTATGTATGTATGTATGTATGTATGTATGTATGTATGTATGTATGTATGTATGTATGTATGTATGTA